AAGGAGTGGAGATACTGTTTGGCTTGCAGGAGCACTGTACCGCTGGGGCTGAGCTTTCTAAGCTGAGGGCAGAGCTCTGGTCTTTTAGTGGAAAGCACAAGACAAGAAGTTAATGGGAGCAAGGCTGGGTACTTGAGGTCCCCTCACCAGAGTTGAGTATCCTAGGTATGTTTCACAGAACTACATTTCAAAGAAAAACTATGAAAAATACAAGTACTAAAGTCTAAATCACAGTTCTAAAAAAATCTCTGCACAGAATGAGACAGAAATCCATAATTTTTTTTTTTTTTTCCTTTCCTGCTTTTAATTAGTCTTTTGGTTCCTAGAAGCACTTAGCCTTCCTGATTGAGGGAATTTTAGCCTTCCTCATAGTAATGTCCAATTCAGACCCCAAACTTGACAGCTCTTTGATGCTGGAATTTCTTTGATGTTGGAATTTCTTTGACATCTTTCTCAGAGGCTCCTAGTGGGCTTGCAGATGCTCTCTGGGGGCCCTTAATGAGGCAGGATGCAGTGGGCTTGTGGAGGTGCAGTTTCGCAGAAACGCATATTCAGAGCACTCACACATACTGGAAGATAATCCAGAGTAGCCATCTCCTCAGTCTGGAGCAAACCTACTTTCCCAGTGAAGTAGGTTTGCCCCTGGCTGTGTGCTGCCCTGTGTCAGGGGCACATTCCCTCCATTCTCTGAAGCAGCGACATTATGCAGAGAAGCAAAAGTCACCGAGCTCAGTGTGAGCCAGATCATTCCCAAATCTGTGACTACTTCCAATAATCATGAAGATGTACAAGCATTTCCGTGTGAGATTCCTATAGGCAGGCAGAGGTCAGATGTACTGTTGAAACGCTGGGGTTTCAACCCCAAACCCCAGATTAAGGTTGACATATGGGTGATTCCCACAGCCCTTCCCAAAGTGGGGGTGAGTTTGCCTTTAGGCTTCCCTCCAGGGTGCTCCGGCCTTGCAGACAGAGCCATTGGGTAAATGAGCCCCAGGTGTCCCCCATTCAGTAAGCAAAGGTCAGGTGTCCCACTGAGGGATGAAAGCTGGGACCACTTGCAGGAGGGGCAGTGTCTGTCTGTGAGGTGGATGCTCTGTGCAGAGTTTCCTGTTGGGGAAGGACCTCCTGGGACTGGGCTCCAGTCAGGTCTGGCCTTTGTAAACCCGGGCTGTGTAGAGATTCAGTGTATGGCTTCCTTGGTCTTATGTATTTGGCTTGTTGATTCTGTTGTCTCCCATCCCTTCTATGGGAGACTGTATTTCACCATTTATTCCACCCATTGTTGGTCATGCGGTGTTGTCATTGGGGTCAGTGGGATTGATGTCGATTATAATCTGACTTGTCTGTACCCCCAGCGCTCACCCATGTACTGACCTTTTTGTATCAAATAGAATTTGGTTATTGGTTCATCTTTATGCTGGCTGTGTCCTTTATGCTAGGCCTGATAATTGGCAAGACAACTGTCCTAAGGACTTGAGAAGCAAATTTGATTTTATGCCCAGTAGTATTTATTCAGTATGTGCAAATATAGCCGTGTAAATAATTGTGTTCAGTTTTCATTACTGAAAAATTATGAAAAGTGTTGGTTTTAAAGTCAGTCAAATGTGAATATACCTGATAATTTTTTTTCCATGTTTGAAAGCTTGCATGATGTTTCATTTAGATTTGAAGGTCTTCTTGACCTCTTCAAATCTAAAGGTTTGAAAGTCCTCAAAGATTACAAACCAAAAATTTTTGGAGCTCATTCTAAATTAAAGAAACACCTGGTTTTGATTTTAGAATGTCAGAAACCTCTATTCTTTACTTCTAATTTGTATGTTTATTCAGCTGAAAGAAAATTATTTCACCAAATGATTCTGTTAATCCAAATAATTTTTCAAAGAATGACATTTCATCTCAAAGAATACCACATATCAGTATAAAGACAGAACCTTTTTCCCCCCTAATTAAAAATTATGTCTATTCCTCTGTTCTTCCCCCAGCTACCCCCCAACAAACTGGATAGAGGAAACAGTGCCTCAGTGCAAAAACAAATAAAACTTCCACCATTTTCACGCCTACCTGACAAGCAATTCTAAGGATAAACTAACAATACAGAAAAGCCTGTGTTTTGAGGATTCACCTTCACCTACCTTCTGCTTCTCTTTAATTTGATTTGCTGGTTAATATTTGCATCAAAAGCTGCAGATTTAGCAATGGGAGTTCTGTTATTATTTTCCTTAATAATATCTCGGAGAAAATTCAGGGCCTCTTAATGGTGAACTTTGTAATAATAGTTTATTACTTAAAGAGCTTTTATTCAAGTAGTGGAATCAACCTTCCAGTCCTGAAATATTTAAATTGAGACCATATGTTGGCTTGTTGGTTGTTTGGGCTTTTTTTTCTTTTTTCTAAAGCTTAAGAGCATGAAAACAGTGGTAAAATTCAGTGTAAAAGCATTAATATCTGATTCTTTTCTCAGTGGCTGTAGCAGAAAGCTCAGTACAAGTATAAACGTATTTAATCTCTTTCAGAGAGGGGAAATCTTTCATATTAGAAAAGATAAAGAAGGGTAGGGAGGGAAGTAGAAATAAAGAAGAAAAGAGTCTCCCTGCAGTAGTTTTCATAGCCAAAGCTGGTGGTGGTTTTAAAATATTTTTTATATTTGATCTTTTCTCAAGATTAACCTGTCAGATACTACTTGTGAAACAGGAAACACTTCAGCTCCGAAGGGTCTGAAGGGACTGCTGTTTAGCAGATGTGTAGTAGCTTAGATTGGGCAGTTACTTACACGTGTTCCTCAGGGTAGCATTTAGGGAATCATACTTTGCAGCATCCACTTTATCAAACTTCAGTTATGTTGCGTAGGGGAAGGATCTCCGTAGGTACCCCATAGTCAGCAGAAAAGGAGAGATGCCCTTCCACAAAGTAGTTCAGAGCAGAAGCCTGACATGGACATTCCTGGGGACTGAGTCTCTCTTACAAGGTTTTCATCCAAGATTAATGTAAATTGAGGTATTCCACAGTTCTCCCTCCATAGGCCAAATATGTATGTTGAAGGGAGTAGTCTCATGCTGATATGTTTTACACAGATACCAAAAGAATTCTGTGTTTAATCGTAGAGATTGATGGCCCTCCTGTTTTCCTGAAGTATTTACTTTTTAGGGCAAATACTAGTGCTCTGATAACTACGACTTCAGCCGGAAAACCTATAAGAAAGTTTCATCCCTAGAAGACTTGATTTTGTCCCATTTGAGCGTTGTGACTCAGAAATCTTTAGCTACGGTATTTTGCACTCCTAAAACTGGAGTCAGCTAATTTCCCCCTACGCATGGCTTGCAGTGATTGGCCTTGAGCACACAGTGTTTCTCTCCCAGGAAAGCTTTTGGTTCCTGCTGTGATTTCATTTTTCTTTAGTTCTCCTTTTCCAAAATGCCAGCACTCAGAATAATGAGTCTCCAGGGGGTAGATCACATAAAGGATTTATATGTTGGATTCACTTAATATAGCCAATGGCATATGGGATCCAATTGGTCTAATGTTAAAATAAAAATATAAGAAAATCAGAAAAAAAAAAAGACACTTGAGTATGTCTGCCTTCCTTTCTTCTGTCATTACAAATAAAGCTATGGCATGAGAAACTCAGTTGTACATATCTACACCATAAAAACCTAAAGAAGGTGGGAAGAACCTCATACTTTCTAGGATCAGGGATTAATTCATCACCTAGGGATGGTAGTTGAATATATATCTGTGGAGGACGGAGGAAGCAAGCAGCCAATTCAATGTGAATGATAGAGCAAGCTTCGATTTTATCGAAAGAAATCACACCTATATAAGCACTCTACAATACACTACTCACAAATCTATTGGGTACATTTAAAAGGTTACATTATATCTCAGCCATTGGATACATCTAAAAGGCTACATTATAATATCCCAACCCCTTGTGGTATTTCAGGTATGCATCAACACCTTTCTTCCTCGGACTTGCTTTCTTTCCCAAGGCTGTTTTCCATCACACTCAAGGCCGTTGTGTACCTCAGTTTCTCTCTTTGTTAACATAACAGTCCTTTGTTAGCATAACTGGGTACCCTGGGTTTTTTCCTTTGTTTACCTCAGATGGCTGCAATCAGCTCCTGTGCAGACCTATCGCCTTGCTCTGCAAGCCATTCTTCAACAATTCCCCCTTTTTCTTTTTGTGCAGGCTGCACAAGCATAAATTTACTAATATTTCTCATTATACAACTATATGCTATTTTAATAATTACTACAATCAATAATACTATTCCTAATCACCGCAATAAACTGTTAAAGGTACCCTATCAAGTACAAAGCATCCCATACTACCCACATTCAAGGGATATGACTAAATACTACAAAATAAAGAGTGAGAAAAATATGGAATAGCACACTTAATTAATAGAAGTACTAACATTCAGATCCGCAATTGCTAGGGAACCCTGGATACAGCGAGAATTTAGAGTGCCCTTCCTCACAAACTGGAAACCCTACGTGATGCGTCCCTGCATAGGTGAGGCATCCAAAGTCACTGCAAGCTGGTCCAGCCTTTAAATCAACAGGCCAAAATAACTGGCAACTTTCTTTGAGCGGGAACATCTGATTTCATCCTCCTGTTGGGTTCCACCCGGAGCCTGGCCAGCACTCCAGGGGGGAAACCAAGGGAGTTTCTAAATAAGGTTAAACACTTGAGCTCTTAATATTGCTAAACAAAGTTGAATACACACATTCTTACAGCCTTTCATCCTTAATAACTACATTTCATCTAAACTACATCTTTCACTAATGACTAGTAAGCCTATATATCTCATTAAGGAGTTGCAATTACTGTTAGCATTTTCTCTTAAAAGAATTAGCAAATGTAATGTAGTTTGTTCTGTTGCAGTAGCAAACATTACCCAGACATCTGCTTAAATGATCAGTCGAAGAGATTGCAAACTGTCCACGCAGGGGCGGGTACCCTAGAGCACCCACAGCTGGATCCTGAGTGCTGGCTGCCTCTCACGCCTCAGGTGTGGTTGCACACACCTTGCCAGTGACCATTGGAGATGAGACCTGTGGAGACACAAGCATAACCTCTTCCCCAGGTTATTAAAGATATTATATGGTCCTTCCCAGTTATCCCTTTCTAGGTTTTTGTTAACGCTTGAGCCTTGCTCTGGACTTCTTGTTGATCTGGTATCTGTGATGAAAGACGACACAATACTGGTGGCACCCGTGAGACAGGGGAAATGTTTAAAAGGTTTGAAGAGATGGAGCCTTTCTGGTACTCAGGGCAAGTTGATAAAGAAAACTGGTTTTGTATTGCCCTGGCATTCTGGTGGAAAAAATGCATGTGTTTTACAGCAGAGCATATGGTTGACCTGGAGCCAAGATCTCTTCCCCCCTTTTGTTTTTGCAAAAGCACTTTCAAGGTTTGGTGTGTTCTTTCTGTGATGGCTTGTCCTGTGGGGGAATGCAGTATACCTGTGATGCTTGTCTG